TGTGTCCATGCTGTTCCCTCCAGTACACATCTGTGTCCATGCTGTTCCCTCCAGTACACATCTGTGTCCGTGCCTTACCCCCTTGCACCTTATGTTCAAGACTTCCTCCTGCACACCCGTGTCCATTCCCTTCCCTACACACCCGTGTCCATGCCCTTCTGCCCTTGCACCCAGTGTCTGGGCTTTCCTCCCCCTCTCAGACCTGTCTTTATGCCCTGTCCATGACCCCCACCTCTGCCCTTGCCCTTCCCTACACACACCTGTATCCATTCCCTCCCCAACCCCATGTACCCGTGTCCATGCTCTTTTCCTCAAATTGAAAATGCTGCTACCTTTAAACTTTCCCATCAGATCAAGACCTGTTCAGCCTTCAGGAACTAGCTTAAATGTCACAATCCTCCCACTCTCAATGAAGTGATTAACGACTAAATGAATGGTATTTGGTTAGTGCTTGCTATGTGTCTGGACCCTATATTAACGTCTTTAAAAAAAAAAAGTCATGCACCTGGTACCCATGCAAACCTAGGAGGTCAACAGAATGCTTTCCACATTATAGACAATCAGTTGGACACTTGGATAGGTTAGGTCATTGCCTGGGGGGTCTTGCAGCTGACCCTCTAAAGCCTATGCTGTTCCCTATTACATTAAACTGATGAGCAGAGATTGGAACACAGCTGGGATCTGTATCCAAAGCACCTGACTCCAATTCCAGCACCTTGTGACCCTAACACATCAAATCCCAGCGGTCCTTAGATTACTATCAAGGCCATTTCTTCCAAGGCAACATGAAGGGCAGTAGAGAAGGAGGAAGAAGAAGTTGTAGAAAGACCTTCAGGTTAAATCTCCATTTAGTTTACCCCTTCTCAAGAGCAGAATTTGACCTTGGGCAAAGAGAAGTATCTCTCATCTGCTCCTACAGTGGATATGCTCGATAAATTCTTTGTTGGCCCTTGGGTCATGCCCAGAGCCATGGGTAAAAGGGTGAAGGGTTGACTCCGTCTGAGACCAATCAAGAAGCTACACTGACTTAGACTGTCAGGCAATCCATCAATTAGAAGACTGATGGGCTATCCCATGCCCTCTAGTTTAATATTCTAATGGAGAAATTAGGGAGCTTGAGAACCTGTGGACTGCATGCAAAAGAGCCACATAAGAAGTCTTGATTCATCACAGGGAGACTGGACGTGAAACCTGTAACCAGTTCCAAAATAAGCTCAACACCGAATCATCACCTGTTTTCACTCTCTGACTCGGGGAGAGTCTGTGGTGGTTCAAGGGTCTCAGAGTTCTGAAATAAACCAGAAAATTTAATCAAATATTGAAATCCAGCTTATAGGAACTGACTGAGTATTAAGTGGTAATAGTCTTATTTTGACTTACACTGGAAACACGAGGGAAGAAGGCATGATCTTGCCTTGTAACTCAGCTGGACAATTTTACTAGAGGGCAGTAGGAGAACTTTTATAACCAACAAAGGCACCTCTGTTAAGCTGACCATTTCGCCTCAAGGCATGCTAGAAAGTATATTTGTTAGTAGTTTAAGTATGATCCATAGGTGACCTAGAGCTAGACCTAAATTCTAAACTTAATACTGTCACATGATCAGGAAATCATTTCAGTAATCTGTCCTTCAGTATCACCTCTAAAATAAGAGGTATCAACATTTATGTCCCTATCAACCAACTAATCAATCTGTAAGTCTGCTGTGTGCAAGATCAGTACAGGCCTCACAGCGAACTCAAGATAGTGATAAGCAACTGACACAAGCAAAGGAACAGAGCAGTCAAGAACACAAGTTATGATTGGCAGACAGTAAATTAGGATGACCAGCTGTCTGGCTGAGGCAGAAATTAGCTTTCGAGAACATGGGAACTGTCAGGGCTAAAGCTGGAAAAGTCCTTAACAAATAAATGACTAGTCATTGGAAGGATGGGGAAATGGCCTTAGAAAAGTCTACATACCCCTAATCTAATACCTAATCATTTTTTGAGACCAATGGTAAGCATCATCTCTGGAAATTCCTTCCTGAAACCCCTGGAATGAATAAGATGCCTTATTCTGTACTTCTACACAGCTTCAGGCATCTCATTAAACTGTATAACCAAAGCATACAATAATACTAGTTTTATAAGGCTGCTCTCAGAACAAAACTGTACATAAGAACTATGATTACTTATCTCTGTGTGATATTCTGTCAGTTATCCTGCTTATATCCCATTTATGTTTGGGCTTTAAAAAATTTTTTTTTGAGACAGGGTCTTATGTAGTTCAGACTGGCCTTGAACTCACTATGTAGTCCAGGCTGTCCTCAAACTCATGGTGGTCCTCCTGTCTCAACCTCCCAAGTGCTGGGATTACAGGCATGTGCTACTATGCCTAGCTTTGCCTGTATCCAATTGCATCTACAGATGTAGAGCTATAGCAAGGAAACAAGACATTACGTACCATTATGTTTTTTCTGGATTGAAGATGCTCAAATTTTTATAACACTAATAAGTATTTATTTAAAACTTACTTAGGTTTGAGTAAAGATTCAGATTCTGTAAAATACATCCAAAAAGCCTGAGTTTCTAATTAGAGCAACATGCTTTTTAAAAAGCTAGTGACTTAACCATTTTGTTCAGAAGCTGAACAATGTGATTGTTGTGTACTGCTCAGAATGAAACTCAAAATCATGGAAAAAAAAAAAAAGCTTTTCCTGGAATTTCTAAGTAACATACCAAGTTGCATTATTTAGAACTAATACTTTGACCTCTGTTAACTAATAAGGGTTGCAACTCAATTAGTGGTTTTATATAAAGTCTTACAAATCGTGGGAGCTTTGCCAGAGATACTGATGAACAGAAATACAAGAATTTTGGATGGGAATATTGTGAAATCCAATTGTCTACAATTGCATTCTGGAGTATATGAACTTTAGAATACTGTAGAATGTTTCTTCCTCGTAATGAAATTTTTCTAAAAACAACTCTGAACAAAAAATTTAAATTAAATCTTAAAATTTAGGAACATATACTAGGTTTATATATACGCAGGAAGATTTCTATAATATGTTGATATAAACTATAGAAAATGTGACACTGAAAGAAAACAGTGACATGTGGAATGCTAAATAAAGCAGTGAAAGTGTGGATTCCTGAATCATAGCCCTAGAGCAGATTACCACAGGGAACATCTAACCCCTATTTGTAGAGATTAGGACCCTGGACACCAGTGAGACAGTGATCTACTATTACACTAATCCCCCCAGTTTTACTTCCTATGTTTTCAGTTATGCTTAGACAAGTATGATCTAAAAGTATAAAGTGGAATATTCCAGAAATAAACAATTCATAGGATTCATATCATATATTGTTCTGGGAAGCATGATGAAATCTCATGCTATCCTGCTCTGTCCTGCCCAGGATGTGAATCTTCCCATTATCCAGTGTGTTCATGCTGTATATGCTACCTGCCATGTAGTCACTTAGTAGCAGTCTTGATTATTAGATTGATGCCATGGTATCACAGTGCTTGTGTGTTCAAATAACCCTTATTTTACTTCATAATGGCCCCAAAGCATAAAATCAGTGATGCTGGCAATTCAGAAACATCAGAGAAAAGCTGTGAAGTTCTCTCTTTACATAAAAAAGTGAAAGTTTATTAGGTGTAGGTATAAAAATAAACCATTGTATTATTTAGGGTGCAGTACTATTTGAGGTTTACCAGGGTCTTGAAATGTCCCCTGGGGATAAGGTAGGAGGAGCTCTGCACAGCTATTAGTGAAAGCATAATCAGTGATGAGGTTCCAGCCCCAGCACTGCCACCTACTGGCACTTCCCTCCCCTGTGGATCTCTGCTCACTTAAATCTAAGACTCATCTTCATATTGTCTCACTAATCTCTGTGCAGTGTGAGACCACCACTACTTTATCATAGGTCTGTGGCAGCTTCACCGGGCCACCTGCCCTGGCCTCCTGACCGCTCTCCTGTCTCACGCTGGGGCTCACCTTCAGTCATTCTTGTCTGCTGCCAGGGTCCTTCCCAATCGG